GAGAGAGAGAGAGAGAGAAAACCACCGCCAGGTCTGGGACTTGAACTGCAGTTGGCCATGTGAGAGTCCAGTCTGCTTAACCACCACGCCACCTGCCAGCCCCCAAACAGTCGTCAGTTTTTAAATACCATGTCCATTCAGCATTCTGTGTCTCTGTTTTACGTTGGCCCCAATTATTTGCTGAGCACTTCTCCCTCCCCAGAGGTAACGCTAAAAATAGGTATTAAATGATTTTAAATGGTTTTGTTGGCTTCAACTAGTCATTACTACTGTGTTCAAGTTTCTTTATTCCATCTTCCAATTTAATATAAGTTCAAAGGCATTCATTAAATAGAGGGGCAGCATTTTATTTGATTTTGAGATTAAATGTTTTGTTCTGTACAAATCAAGAGCTTCTAACAAATGAATACATTTAGAAATAAGACATTGGAGAGTGTTTTTACATGTACTTTTGTTCCACTTGAGTGTTTTCTTCTAAATTTCTGCACAGAGGTCACCTGAACTGAAATGAAGGAAAAAGAGCGTGAGCGTATAAAAGCCATGGAATTGGGAGCCTCCAAGAGGAGACGTCTCACTCAGTTTCACTGTGCCTGCAGGAACACAGGGGAATCATTTTTCCATAGCACTCTCATATTCCTCCTTGTCCCCCTCTGATCTCTGCCTTTTCTCCCCTAGGACTATGGAATGTGGGAGCGTGGAGATAAGACCAATCAAGGCATTCCAGAATTGAACGCAAGCTCTGTAGGAATGGCCAAGGTGTGACAGTCTCCTGTTTGTTCTCTCTGTGCATTTTTTACTGCTTTGATTTTGTTCTCTTCATTACGAGTTTGCATTTCATCTGATTAGCACATTTTTCAAAAGCCAGCCAGCATGTATGTGAAATTCAAGTGGCACATGTACCCCAGCCAACTGGAATTTATAGATAAAGAAAGTAGGATTTCAGGGCTAGCAGGTGGCCTGGTGGTTAAGGTGCTGGACTCCCACATGGCTGACTACGGTTCAAGTCTGGGACTCAGTGACTTGAAAATCACACTAGGCATGTGTGCATGTGTGCCCCAGATCCCAGGAGGACACGGGAGAAGAAGGAACTGCAGCATGGCGATCCCCCTGGGGGAGGGGTGATTTCCTCACTTTTCCTCTTACTGTCTCTCTTTCTCTGTCTCCAGAGAGCACACACACCCCATGGCAAAAACCTAAAAAGAAAAAAGAAAGTAGTTTTCATGCACTGAAACCTGCC